CCATCCTGAGCACCCGGGGCGAGGAGGAGGGCGAGGAGGGCGAGGCGAGCGCGGAGGAAAGGAAGGAAGACCTCGCCCGGGCGGCGCAAAAAAAAGCTCGACGGCCGACCGGCCGACCCCGAGCAGCTGGTCCCGCTCCACCGACGGGCGGCGTCCGGCGCGATCCTGGCTTGGCCCGAGCGATCCACGAGAGGAAGAAGCGGTGGTGATGGTGGTGGAAGAGGAGGGGTGTTCAATGCAAAAAAAAGAAAAGGCCAAGCTTGCCCCCCCTCCAGCAGTGGGGGTGGTGGTCGCCCTCCTTCCCCTCCCTCTTGCGCGCACGCCCTCTCTCCAACCGCTGCGCCCTCCCGGCCGCCGCTGCGCGCTTCCCTCTCGCTCTCTCTGTCTGCGGCGGGTGCGCCCGAGCGGGGGCTGATAAGGGCGCGCGGGCGGGGGCGGGGCCGCGCCTGGAAGCCCCCGCCCAATGGGAGGCCGAGCCAGGAGGGATGGGGAGGGGGGGTCCCTATCTCTCTTTCCGACGCCCCCCTCCCCACTCGGCGGCCGGGGGGGGGGCTCGGGTGGCGAAGGCGGTTGGACACGGGACGGGCCCGGGGGTAGGAGAAGCAGGGGGCGGCTGGGCGGCTTTCTTTGTCTTGGAGAGCAAGAGCGCTCGGGAGCATGGGCAGAGCGCGCCCCAGAAGCCCGAAGCCCGTAATTTCTGACTGGTGGGTCCTGGGCGTTACAGCTAACTAACCAAAATAATTTTTCCCAGGCGGTGAGCGTTGGCCATTCAGTTTTCTGGAACTCTGCACATGGGCAGGTGCTGTTCCCTTCTTCTCTGAAGCATCAGGCACAGAGGGAGAGAAAGAGAGAGGGGGGGTGCCAGGTTCCTCTGGCTATAAACCCAAAACCCCACTCAGGCTTTGTGTTCAAGCCCTAGTTCTCTCTCTTCTCCTTTTCTGCCAATTTATTCTCACAACAACCCAGTGAGGTTGGCCAGGTTTAGTAAGGGACTAAAAGCCATGCCAGGGATTTCATTAAACTGTGGTTTGGAGCCTGATTTCCCCATCCTAGTTTGACGTTCCGTCACCCCAGTCCTTACTCTTGTAATCCAGTGGCAGATAAAAGAGGCATGGGTTTCGTAGTCCTTGTTTAAATTCTTCTGATGCTACTCTTCCATCCTCTCATCATTTCAATCTCTCTTCTTTGGTCCTTTCAGGTATGATCGCCTGTGGTTTTGCCCAATGAAGCAGAGAGTATCCATTTTCAAAACAAATAAACTACACCCGTGTAGAGGTTTAATCTAGAGGAAATGGACTCTATGACAGCAAGGTGGCTGGCGGAGAGGCTGGTTTTACCTGTCCATGCTCTCCAAATTCTCTGGCATCCACACATGCGCTTCGTTGCACACCAAGAATTGCGGTTCCTTTTTGGGGGAACTGCAAGGCTTGGAATATTGCAACTGGTGTATTTGCAGCTGGTATCCCAGCACTGTAGTCTGGAAAAGAAGGAAGGAAGGATGGAAGGAAGGAAGGAAGGAAGGAAGGAAGGAAGGAGGTGATGGATGGGGGGAAGGAGGGA